CGGTGGCGGTGGCGGGGTGGTGGTGGTGGTGGCGGTGGCGGTGGCGGTGGTGGCGGTGGCGGTGGCGGTGGCGGTGGCGGCAGGCGGCGCTGGCGGCGGTGGTGGGTGGTGGTTGTTGCTGTGCCTCAGCTATGCCTCGCCTTTTGCGATACGCGCTGCTGGCTGTGTGCTCGTGTTATTGCCACCTGTCTTCTTCATGGGCTGGGGAGAAGAGGGAAGTTACGAAATGCACAAAGATATTGAAAGATATCTCTTTGAGTAAATCAATGTAAATTGTTTGCGTGCGCTGATTCACGACGCTCTTGTGGTCCTCATGATGTGTCTCATGCTTGTCCCTGGTGATAACAAGATGTCGTTGCTAGCTAAAGGCAGCCTTGTCCAGGTCGCAGGATCTAGCACGATCGTTTGCTTGCTACGCAGTTTTCATTGGATGAAGCTGCCAGCCCGTAGAGGTTGATCGTAGGCAGTCTGATAGTTGTGATATTTGCCATGTCCGAGACGGTGCCGCTCACTGGCTTTTTGAAGGCCGATGTGCAGGTGACGCCGCAGTCGAAGCCAACGTATGACTACAGCTTCATGACGGGGGGTCTTCTTTCCTGCTTCACATATTTTTGCTTGCCTCCTTGCTCCTCTACATGCCTCACAACTTTCCGGAACATGTCGAAGCTGGAAGCGAACAAGCCAGTGGAGGTGGCAGATGCACGGAAGAAGCAGGCGGAGGACGGCCTGAATGAACGAGATTTTTTCAACAAACATGGCTTCGTCCTTCTGAAGCATCAGACACGGATGACAGCCGAAGATTGGCTCACCAGCACTGCTGTGCCGTCAGCAAAGAAACCCCTAGAGAAGAAGCCGGGCGAGCCTTCAGCTGTGCGTGATATCTATGCCCAAGAAATTGAACCTGTTATCCGGGAGCTACTGCCAAACGCCAATGACATTTTCTTCCCAGCCTCTGCTCTGCGGCGTGGACCTGGGGGCCCAAATACTCACTATGGTGTGGGGGTGCACCAAGACTACGGCCTACATCCCGAGGACATGAAATCAGGCTACAAGACCGGAGGAACAGACAGCTATGAGGACTTTTTGGAGAAGCTGAAGCGTGAAGACACGGCTGGGTTCTCGATACTCAACTTCTGGCGCCCGGTGCTGCCAATGGCAGGGCCAGTGAAGAGCCTTCCCTTGGCCTTATGTGATCCCAGCACAGTTGAAGCCAAGGACTGCCTGCCGATAGAAGTTCATGGCTTTGTTCCTGGAGGTCAGCAGAGCTTGATCCTCAGATTTCGGAAAGACCAAAAGTGGTACTACTACCCCAATATGACCACGGATGAGGTCCTTGTCTTCCGGGCATTTCACTATGAAAGAGATGTCAAAGTGCCCAACAGACATATCAGGACGGTCTTCCATGCAGCTTTCAATCATCCGGCTACTTCACCTCAAGATGAGAAGCGGTGCAGCAGCGAGTACCGAGTTGGAGTTTGGCTAAAGTGATTCTGGCCCGGGGAACGGTCAGAGTCCGATTATGATCTGATGTGACACAGCCGGCTTGGGTGCGAGGGACTTGCTCTTGGAAAGCCAGCCGTGCCTGCAACGGATGTACAGTGCCGTTCCTGCATGTCTAAAAGAAGTCACATTTTACCTGCAGTCTCCCAACATGTCAGTCCCACGGCATGTTTGGAGCCAAAACGTAGGATTAAGCCGCCAGGCAGCCTTTGTGCGGTCCCCTCTCAGCGTAGATTGTGGCCCTGGGTGTAGCTGCTCAATTGTTGGTGGGGTTCGGTTGTATGCAGTGTACTGAATATACATAGATGCAAGGCCTTCGTGTCCGGTACTGCTGCAGCTGCCACGGCCCTAGTGAAGTGCAGGGCCTCACCATGTACTTGATAGGTTGGTATCATAGTCGGATCGAATTCCAGTGTGCTCAGCATACACAAGCCCCATCAGGCAGGAATGCCTCAATCACTTTTTTTTTGATTGAGAGGACATGGGAACACAAGCTCATTCTCTGAAGAGCGAGACCCAGTAGTATCTGGGATTCTGGAATCTTGTGCCTTGCAGCAGATCGGCTGCATGGACGTCACATGTATCAAAATTTGGGCTCCGTCTTCGGCCACCGGAGCTTTGAATTCAAGGTGTAGTAAGAGAATCGGTGACTGTAAGTGCACGGGGGCACCGTCCCGGCTTGAGCTTTCTGAGGTCACTCCGGTTGAACATATCGGTGAGGCGCCTCCTATGAACCATGGTAAGCGGGTGCAGATTTCAGTCGGCATGCCAATGGCGCGAGAGCCTTCACGAGGGACGGTAGGAGACATACCAACGCATCTGCTTCATGTCCTCATATATCCGTATAGAACCCCCTACATATACATATACATAAATGTATATACACCCCTGTTATACCCATATATACATATATACACATACATATGCTTATATATATATATGTATCCCTATATGTTCATATGTTTACATATACAAATCCCTGTTACGGACTCGTCAGGATGACCAACAGGTTGACCTCCCAGCTCCGGGGCTGGTAACTTCAAAGTTGAAGGACCTCTCATTGCTGGGTCCAGGGGGGGCGGAAGTTAGGGTTTAAGGGTTAGGGGTTTAGGGCTTAGGGTTTAGGGGTTTGAGGGTTTGGGGTTTAGGGTTTAAGGGTTTAGCGCAGATGACAGGCTTCAGGGTAATGCCATGCTTCTTGGTGAGATTTTCTTCCATGTGCTGGGTTGCAAGAAACAGTTTGGCCTATGGTGGCTGGGGCTCGATATTAAGGGCTGTATATAACTATATTCTAAACATTACCCAACTGTCACTGAGTGGGGGCAGTACCCAAGTTATACCTGTCCTCTCACAGCCTAGTCGCACCAATCCCCCAGCATCTTGGTTCCTCGTAAAGTAAAGTAACAGCAACTGAGAGCGCCAAACCTTACTTGGAACACGAAAGACTTGTTCGGTGACGAAGACATTTTCTCACTGCATCCCAAATACACTGGAGCCTGCTTAATTTTGCATAGACATGAGGTTGATGGGCTTCACATACTGGGAGTAGGGATCCAAGAACGAGTAGGGCTTTCGGATGTTGCCTGCAGAGTTGCTAAGGGCCGCATTACAACGCAATGTCGAAAAGGCACATGACCTGTCTTTCCGTTCGCGCAGCAAGAACCGCACTACCAGAAATTCGGAGAAAAGACGTACACTCACTCATAGGGATACGGCTTTCTCATGCTCAGGGGATGGCAGGAGTCCTTCTCAAACACATGAGATTACAGGCAGGAACAAACGTGCAGAGCCGTTGGTTGGCTCAAACAGCAGAGGGCCAGGCTGCGAAGTCCGCGGTCCGTACACGGATCAGGGTGCACCAGCATTTTCAATTTGGATTCTGAAGTTCTGAAGCAAAAGGCATCATGCACCTAGGTATGCGGGAGGGGCTTGAAGGACTAAAGTAAATGTTTGTCTTGGATCCTAAGATGATTGCCCTTCCCCAGCCAGCCATCCGCTAGGTAGATTATGGTAGTATTGGAAGAATGGAAAAGAAAATGGTAACTACGATAGTATAGGGTATAGGGTTTAGGGTAATCTTGGGAGAATGGAAAATAAATTCGAAACTACTATAGTACATTTTCGTAATATAGGGATCATGGAAAAGAAAATGGAAGCTACTACAGGTTCATAAGGTCTGTCAGAAGTGGGCCTGGCAATGGAGGCCTCCGCGAGCCCGCAGCCACGGAGCATCAGCGAGCTGTTGCTGTGCCCTGGTGAGTAGTATTCAATTTGGGGAACCTATGGTACCCAATATAGAGTAAGATTGTATCCTCCTTTTTGGGTATAGTATTTTATATAAGGAATATAATCTTACTGGGTTTAACCACCAAAAAAACACTTCTCTGGTTGGGTATTTATCCTTGTCGTTATTGAGCTACAGTTGTATCACAGCGGAGCCAGCGCAGAAATGCGGTGACACTTATATCCCCATATACCCCATATTCTATACCCTATATAACCCATTATAGTAGTTTCCATTTTCTTTTCCATTATCAACCCTGAACTGAAAGCCTTAAAAGGAGACCTCCGCTGTATTGGCTTTTTCATTCCTGGAGGCTCTTTGGCCAGGACCTCAGCAAGCTTCCTGACACTGTCACTGTCATGCTAGCTGGACGAAAAGGGGGGGTTCTATTGGGGTTATTTGGGGACAATGGAAAAGAAAATTGAAACTACTATCATGGGTTATATAGGGCATAGAATATGGGGTATTTAATCTCTGACTCTTTGTTCATCCGAGTCCACGACTCTCATCTGGCTACCTGCATCAAGCGCCAGCAACTCAAGTGTTTACGAGCACACTGAGGATACGGTGTGCTCGTCCCGCCTCTGCTTTACTTTGAGCCTCTGAAAACTCTGGCTGCCATCGTTGCCTATTCTGCCATCCACCGACAGCGATGGTGGCAACGGAGTATTCATAGGCGCGTGCTTCTTCATTGGCTTTCCCGATTTCGTTTGATCACCCTTAAGCAGAAAGTGCGAAGCGCATCGTGTCTGTAGACTCTACAATCTACAAAAGGTTTCCCCGAAACAACGGAATTTCAAATTGCCAGCCGTCAAGCTTGTCGCCCAGAGCCTCTAATCTTGAAAGCTCACGTCAACGATCTCTGCGGCAGGGCTCTGGGCTTTGGAGCCTCGCGTCGTCATAAATTCGTGAACGAGCACACCGATGTGCCTCACGACTGCATGCGGACATCGACCGTATGTTTGCAGGCTTCTGCAAGATTTTGCTGGAGGTGAGGCGAAGTATCTCGAGGTCGGGAGGAGGTGCAGCATGCTGCAGGGGTTGTTGTTTATCACTGCCCGGTGTCTTTTTCAGGTTGTTCTGTGCGGCATCTTGAAATGCTAGTACTTGGGTGGTTTTCAGCGTGTCTGTTGCATCCAGCAAGGTGAACAGAGCAACATACGGAATAGAATTGACGACGTAAACTGTCATTCCATTTTCCGGGCAGATTGCGGAGTGTACAACAGGAGATAGGTAGGAAAACATTCAAATTCTCACGGGGTCTTAACTTATGTCCCTCCATAGTTCGTCTTGTAGATAACACCTGTGTCACTGTGTTTCGCAATATGCCCTACAAACCAGTAAAAGCCCCCATCGCCATTTCAGTTGATTTTCCAATATTGGGGTCATATCCGTTTCCTAAGCCCTAAACCAGGCCCTGAACACTGAAATAGTAGTTTCCATTCTTTTCCATGATCCCTATATATATTGGGATTATATCCCTGTAAGCCTACATGACCCTGTAACCCCCCCACATACTCCCGATATAGCCCCCACACAAGTGCTGTATATCCCAATGCATTGGGATAATATGGTCAGCAGTCATGCTTGGTCCTTGACCTGACCCCTAAAACCGAAACCCTAAACCCTCATGCAGGCGCAAAAGAGGCGTGCAAACAAAAACAAAACCCTAAACCCTAAACCCTAAACCTCAGTGAGGATCAAAGAGGACAAGCGATACCTCTGGTCGCTTCATCCTCACGGTCTTCTGGCAGATGGCTGGCATTCCCTCATTGCCGCCTGGGCCACATTAGCGCGTGCAAAATTGCACGGAAAGTATGGTAAGCTTTTCAGCATGGTTCTTGGTACGTGTATTTAGATTTACTTAAAGGTACTTGGGATTGTTGGTTGAACGTATGTGTGGAGTGTCTCTGCAAGAATCATGAACAGAAGTCGTAGCTGACATCAGTGAAGAGACCGCTGAATAAGCTCCTGATTTTGTCGATAGCGAAGATGATTATCATCATCACTGCCTTTAGGTCGTGAGCTGTTCGGGAGCACTTCTAATCTACCTTAATGTGACCTATCCACCTGGCATATGCTTCTCACTTCATGCTCAAGCTCCCTTCAGCTGCCAGCAAGGCCCGCAACCTCGAGTCATTTGAAGACTCGGGGAAGGGTCCGCCGGCTGTGGGGCGCAAGATCGCCTTGTGCTGCTAGGTGGCCCTAGCCACCGTGTGGGCTTCGACAGGCTTCAATTTTTTGAGCATTTCGCTGCAGCTTCTCAGTAGCCTCCCAACTTTGGCCCTAAAGTCTATAACAAGTATACCGATTTTGTTCAGGATACTCAGGGAAGGTTGCCAGGGTGAATTTTTGTTTTCAGCTCAAGGCTCGTGTGAGAGAGTGCTCTTTGAGCTGCGACTCGAAACAGGCCAGCACGAAGCGCAAGAACTCAGATTCCAAGAGGAAAATCGGGAGCCGCAAGAATATTCTGGTAGGAATACAACGGGAATATACCTACCATGGTCCTTGTGTTGCTATGGGCTTTTCTTTTCTCGGGGAAATATATGATTTTCGAGGCACACAGCGCTCCTCGACAAAGGGTAATTGCAGTTGTCGTTGTAGGACCCGGGTGCACGGCACAGTGAACCGAGGCTTTGCACCCATTATCCAGCATGTGCCGGTGCATCAGGACCCTTTTCCAGCTTGTTGCGGAACATGAGCCCATTTTGCAGGTGCTTCTTGAGAACAGCCTTGTGTCTCGTGTACTAATCAAGAAGAAGAATCCAACTTTGAGAAGTAGCAGAAGGCAGGTCCTAATGCCTGCATCCATCTTGGAATCTTCCTGCTTCTACAATTATTAGTTTCATTCTTCTTATTATTTTTTATTGCTATTATCACTTTCAGTACTCTTATTTCAAAGCTCTGAACCAACGTTCAAAAGCATGCTGAGGGCTTTGTCATCTTCCAAGCTCAAGGCCTTGTGGCCAACGCACGCAACAGACCCAATATATTGTCGTAGTTTCCATTTTCTTTTCCATTATCCCTATAATAACCCCAATATTTACCCTATAGTCCATATATAGCCCCTATAGAATCCCTATAATCCCTCAGTTTTCTTGCGAATCCGTGTGAGCCTCTCAATACTTCTCCAGTGGGTCCAGGAGATGTACCGGGACTTGTGCACCTCAGCGAGTCGTAAAGACATCGTGAAGCTACCCAGCTGCCTGGTGGGTTCTTTGCATGTGTTGCCCTGAGTTGGTGCATTCTAATTTTGGAGGTGACTAGCTTCTTCGGGGCTTCAGGGGCATGCAACACCATTCTTGACTGCGATTCCTATTTGCTTGAGGTGGTGGAAGACAAAAGACACGGACCCAGCACTCATTCCCGGCGGGTTTTCCGAGGCGCATCTGGAGTCCAAGCTGCAAGGTAGGCCACATTCTCACGCTGCTCGTAGGGACGCACCCCGACATTTCATGAAAAAAGATGTGGGTATCAGCCCTTGGCGCTCCTGTGAGAGTCCGCGAGAGGCTGTGTTCGCCAACTCCGCCGAGCGCAGGTACGAGTATTCCTACCTCAAGAACCGCATCCCGGCTTGAAGCGAATGCGTGTTTCTGTTGCTTATGGAATCAACCGTGCTCACCGAAGGGTCTGCTGCGTGCCGCGTAGCTTGTGTTTTGCTTCAAGGTAAAGGCTTCGTACGGATCGCTGTGGAGGAGGGCAAGGATATCGTCCCCTGCTACACTTTCCGCCAGAACTGGATGTACCGCACCCCACGGACCCTTCGCGCTGCGCGGGCGCGTTTGTCTCAGCACATCTTCGTGGGCATCATCCCCTTCTTCGGGTGGATGGGAACGTCTATGCCCCTGACGGACGAGACAACGTCTGTGGTGTTCCCGCCGTTTCCAGCCTCCGAGTACAAGGCAGACCAGGTGGATGCCGCACACGCTGCATACTTGGAACATTTGAAGAAGTACTTTGACATGTACAAGGGCCGCTTCGGCATGAAGGACACGGAGCTCGTAGCTGGGCAAGGACTTAACACAAGGTATCTGTGAAGTCATGGTGTAACTTTGTATGATTTGTACATTGTGGCCTACCGGGAGCTGAGGTTTTCATCGGCAATGATTTCAAGGATGACGACTGGGCAGCGAGGGCTTTGCACCGGTTGGGCTTGCTTCTTGGAATAAGGTTTTGGAAGTCCAGAAAAGGTTCGGCCATGTAAGATTTAGCACAAGCAGATGCCATGGACTGGGATTCATTGCTGAACCGTTTGCAACTGGGCTGCGGGCATGAGAGATTGCGAAACTACAAACCTGGGTTGGCCTAAGGTGGCACTGCAGATAAAAAAAAATAAAAAAAAATTCCAGGGTTCAGTCTATCCTGTCGCTCAATAACGAGCCAGTATGTGTATGGGTGAGGATATGCAAGGCTGTAAGTAACTAATGAAAGTTAGCACGCCTTCGCTTGGCATCTAGCATCAGGACGAGTTATGAAGATGTATGTGGGGTTCCTCACAACTAGGGCTCTGTGAATGGAACCTGCCATGTAGGGGAATCCAGAACCTTGCAACCAAAGACACCCTCCACATCTTGAAATCCTCGCTCACCCTTGCTGCTGCTTACAAGGGCAGCTTTGTTGCCAGCTTGAGTCTCAAGGGCAGTGTCCGGCCCCCGTAAACAAGGGGTTGAGCCTACAGACATCTTTAAGCAACAAACCCCCAACCCCAGCCTCTAGACCTTAGGTTATCAAGCCATGTGGTCGCAACGCAGCCGCTACCACCACCCCGGTCGCGACTCTGAGCCTTTTAGTGGGCCGGCAGGTCACTTGGTTTTAAAGACGTGTGCCAACCTCCCTTGCCTGGGGCTTTCGAATCATAGAAGATTGCATTACTTCGTGAGGAAAGTTCTAGTGTTGTAAGAGCACATGCCTACCAAAACGGCTAAGGGTTGTGGGTGCTGACGCAGGGAACTCTGAGGAGTTCGGAGAAGTGCCACCGGCCGAGGGAACGCAGGAGCGTGGGTTTTGAGAAGCGACAGAAGACAGAGAGTTGGGAGGTTTGCATAATCCCAGTTTCCATCTTATTTTCACCGCTTTCCTTTCCCTTTTGAGTCTCCATTATTACAGGGGTACTATGCCCATATATGATCCCTATGTAACCCTATAATCCACCTGTTTCCATTTCGTTTTGAGTTGTCTTTTCATTTGATTCTCCATCATAGAGGTACTATCCCAAACCCATATTTTAGATCGATAGATAGATAGGCTTCCTGAAGAAGGGGCTTTTTAGGTTGTGGTTGAGTCCTGGCCTGCGGCACTATGCTATAGCTGGTGTATGCCGCGTTGCCAAAGAGCACGTGCAATTTCAATCGGAATGGGAGGGTTTAGGGTTTACAGTCCCCCTTAAGTAGATAGAATATGGTTTTGGGTATGTTACAATAAGATCCCCATATACCCCATATTCTATCTACTTAAGGGGGACTATAGGGCTTAGGGAAGCCAGCTTTTATCCCTCAAGGCGACATGAGGGACCTTGTCCCAGCTGCTGCCTAAGCTTGCATGATTCTATACATCTAGCCCAGAAGCACATCCTGTAGCTGGACTAAAGACCTGGGACCAGGGCGGCGGTCTCACCAAGCAGGATCAGAATAACTGACTGCTTGCATTGGGGGCTGCAGATATCATGGCTCGCTTCAAAAGATGCATCCCTGCTACACCCAACATCAGGAGCAGTTTCCTGATTTGGCCCTAGGCTGCTCAAGTGATTTTCCTGAAGCTCAGACGTGGAGTCAGGAGACCTACCTTGACATTCAACAAGAGCTGGACACTCAGAGTGCTGCATGCTCCCTGGGCCCTAAGCCCAAGGCCTTAAAATGGCCGTAAACCGGGATCTGTCTGGCGTAGGGGCCTTGGGCTCTGAAGCTATCTTCCTTTCTTCTCTCGCTAATTGAAATGGGCCAGAGGAAGCTTGTGCTTCATGCTCATAATTGCTGCTTGCTTCTGGTCAGGGTATTGTCCATCGGATCGGGGTTCTTGTTTGGAGTGGCCCTCAAGTTGCACTCATTCTCCCAGAAACCATGAAGAAGGCTATCTCCTGATCACTACCCGTCCGTCTCAGGCTTCAGCCGGATACCGAGGGCTGGCTGATGGATGCTTTCTGAGTTGGATGTACTTTTTCCGCATGCCTGGTCGTGATCATCACTTCGAAGTATCAATCTCAGCTGAATGCACTAAGTCTAGAATGCGGTTTAAGCAACATTATTGAGAAGCTGGAAGATGGAAGGCCAGAAGGCTGCCAGGAGGCATTTTCTTGCTTGAGACACAACAGCAAAGGCAGTGCAGCAGCATGAGCGTTCCAAGAACGTCTCCCCAGACTAGGATGCAAAGGAAACTGCAATATCCCTATGGAGATGGATGCCCCCGAAGGTCTGCTTTAACCCTGAGATAATCAAGAAAGAAGACGCAGATGAAATTGATGGTGCACACAGAACTGCAGCCCAACCCTGTGAGTGTGCCGGCGATGCTGGCAAAAAGCAGGGCTGCTTTAGAAGCCAAACTGTCAGAGTCCACTTTCTGGACAAGCAGGTGTTCATGCAGGATCGGTAGTTCTAACATGCGTGTTGACGGTGCCTGGGCTGCTGTTGCTTGCGCTCAAGAGTAGCAGTGCAATGACCAGTCCATAAGCACAAGCTCATCTTGACGTCAGGTACCAGCTAAGTCCTGTCACAAGCCAGAAAGTGAGGGTCAGAAGGCCACATAGAGAGAACGCGTAGTCTGTAAAAGCCTTCCTCTTTGTTTGCGTACGCTGACGTGAGCTATGTGCCGCCAGATCCCCATGGAATGCTGGCCGTCACTTGGTAGCACCTTCTTCTGCTTGAGATGGTCGACATGCCAGGGTGGTATGGATCTTGCTGAAGGTTCTTTCTGAAGTAATTGGGGTCTGGGGCAGGCATGAGCATGCTACAAACATGCAAGCCGCAACGTTCAGGCTGGGGGTGTGTTTCTTCAGTATGGCAGAAGTATTGCAGACGGCCTTCCGGCCTCAGCCAAAATGATCCCAAAACGGTTTCATGTCAGGCCTCACCTATTACTATGAAGCAGGCAGCTTCAGATTTTGAGCAGCTCGGAGATTTTGTCAGATGTCACATGCTGGACTTGCGAATGCGGCTGGAGCAGTGACGTTCCCCTAGCTCTGTGCCCTATTTTGTCTTGCTGTTTTCGGGAGATGTGCAGACGTGTTACCTGTGAAGTGATGGGCTGCTTGCCAAACAGCGCAGTAGCCTCCTCACCTGGCCTTGCCTCATAAGGCGGAGCATGACTGCTCACAGGCTTCAATCAATCAATCAATCAGATTTTGAGCAGTGAGCTTCTTACCCAATGGTACTGTACTGCTAACCCTCTAGTTTCTTACCAGGAGCTCCTACGGGCCGAGAAGGCAGGAAGGCTGGACGACGTGGTGCGATCCTTGCGAGGGAAGGCATCTTGGCATGTTTGTTAGGGATACTGCAGTGCAAAAGGGATTTGGTGAGTAGGGAATGAAGGATTGGAACGTTCAAGTGATCACTGGGGATTGCAAAGGGCTTACAGTGGCTAGCAGTACATTCGCCATGAGTAAGCACAGGTATGGATGCTTAGGATTATGTGGAGTCAAAGTGGGACCTGCCCGCGGCTTGTGCGGATATCTAAGCTATAGGAATTGGCGAGATTTTATGCGGGTTCTCAGGATCTCGGGGTAGGCATTGCAGCCATGCATGGTTGTTGTGGGCAGCTACACGTCATTCAGTCTTCCCAAGTGGTAGTTTCCCAAAATAAGGGGACCCCAACCTAGACCTCAAAACATTCTAGTTATTATGGCGCCGCCCACCAAAAGGGACCCCCAATTTTGGGAAACCCTAAACCCTAGATATTCCTATATAAACCCCTAGAGCCCCCAAATCCCCCCTTTAAAGATACCCCTAATTTTGGGAACCCCCAAGTGTCAACTTTGGCTCTATATGGTTTGAACCGGGATCTGGCTGAACTACAGGGTGCCTTTGCGTAGCCGCGATATGAAGACGGCACAGGAGAATGAGAAGAACAGCGATAGCAGTAATGACTCTTCTTGTCTGAATAATACTACGTGTAGTAATAATAGTAATCATCGTAATAATAGCGATAGTAGTAATAATAGCAATAATCGCAATAATAGTGAGAACATGAATAGTAAGAATAGTAAGAATAGTAGTAGTAGTAGTAGTAATAATAAGACTGGTAAATCGGAATATCAAAAGCAACCGTACCCTGCATGTGCTGCTCAGCATGCCTTGCTTGTATTATTTTCTGCGAGTGAGGCCGTTAGCTCGTTTGAGACGGCTGGGTGGCTGCGCGAGCTTGGGCAGTCAGGCGGGGCATTGGGTCTGCTAGGGCAGTGCTTCCTGGTGGGCATTGGTTGCTGTAAAGTGTAAAGCCTCCAGCCACCCATCCTAACTATTACTAATACTATTATTCTTATTTTTGTTTTTATGTTATCATTATCATTGTTGTTACTATTACTGCTGTTATTACTATTCTTATTCTCATTATTACTATTCGTATTATACTTACTGTTAGTAAGATCCTTAGATTGTGAAGTTCGGTGAGCTGGCGGATGTCTCTCAATACCATAATGTTGTTAGTGGTGTTAGTGTTGATGTACATTATTTTAAATATTACAGTTGTTCTTATTCATAGTATTTCTTCATTTATACTCAGTATTCGAATGCTGCTCATTGTGATCATGATGGTTGCTCCGACGAGTCCTTGCGTGGTTCTGCTTGTCGGTGGGTAGGCCCATGACCATTTCTATCGTTAACCTCATTGGTAGTATCTTTATCTATTCCTATTTCAACCCTCTGTGATCCATATATACAATACAAAGCACTCTTTCAACATCCCTTCATGGAGCACAGACACCCTAGCCCTAAACCCAAAATCCGAAACCCCAAACCCTGCAACCTCAAGCCCAGGTACAAATCGTATAGGGCAAAGGCGAGGGCAAAACTCGGTCAATGCCCGCCCAAAACCTGCACAACACTTTGGACCTGAACCCTGGACAACCTGTATAAATCCTGGACCCCAAACCCTAACACCTGAGCCCTAAATCTTATACCCCAAACCTCGATCTGTTTAACTGCTGCAGGTCACTAGGACCCTAATATACCCCGACATCACCCTACATAAGCCTATATACCTCCATAGAACATATTCCTTAAAACCCTAAGCCCCAGGCCCTAAATCCTAAACCCTAAAAAAAAAAATCCTAAACTCTAGATCCTGAACACTAAACGCCCCTCCCCCCCCCCAAAAAAAAACCTGAACCCTAAACCCTACTACCACTGCTGCAGGTCGCTGGGACCTGGCCCTTGCCTTCCTTCAAACCCTGCGCGCGCAAGGCAGCCCTGAGTGCGGCCGTTACCAGCCCTCTGGGAGCAAGTTCGGATGTGTAGGGTATAGGGTTTAGGGTTTGGGCTTAAGGACTTCGGGTTTAGGGCTAGGGTAGGGCTGTCTGTAGACCCCACATGGCCATGTGAGGGGATGATGTGAGGATATTAGCGGGCTTCTGGGAAGGTTTTTTTCCAACAGACAAAAGGAAACAGGAGGGCGAGCAGCACAAACGAAGCTGCCTAAAGCAAAACCCTGGCGTCCGTAAGCTGACGTAAGAAAAAGCCATCCCGCATACTTCGCTGTAAGCACTGTCAGCTCTGATGTTGGAGCTTCTGCAAACAGCATAAGCTTCTTGAATGAAGAAGTGCAATCGTAGGCGATTTCTTTGGTTTCGCAGACTTCCAGAAGCAAGATCCTTACCCTCAAGCAAAACTATCAAAGTTTTGATCACGGCTCTTGTGGTTTTTCGGGGAGTCGTCCTGGAAATGCATAGGATGTGCAAAGGTGCTAGACGGCCAAGGAATTCGAAGAGCTACTGAATTTCCACTGCGCATCTCCTGGGCTGGCAGACTAATGTCGAATGTCGTGTTTGGCCGTGCTACCTGAATCCAGTCAAGTGCTTTGACCTTGAACCTTGAAACCGCTTGAAATTTTCTCTTGCACCGGCGATCGGTTATTCGCAAAGCATGTATGTGTGACTGAGCATCAAGCTTCCACGAAAGGGTCTGGAAGACCGGCGACGAAGCATGATGGTTCCTTGATTGATTCCCAAGCTGCAGCACCAAGGTATGGAGCTGTTCTGTCCGGCTGTGCCAAGGCAGTCCACGTCTCACTGATTTGTAGACGTAGAATCATGAATGGCATGATGATGATGATAATGATGATGATAATGCTGCTGCTGTTGTTGGCACTTTTGCAAGGCTCCCCGTGACGACCTTGCTAGGGACCTCTGCGAATCTGCCTCTTACGGCGTGCAAGGATGAATGCCACAATGTCTTGGTTCAGGATCTGTAGTTAGTGATGACGGATACATAGAGGGCGGCGATGGGCACAGCCGCCAGCAACCAGGATGAAGTTCAAGAATATTCAGTCAAAGTGACCCCGGAGCTTGAGGCGGGACGTTCAAAATCTGTAAGGAACCCACGCAACTCAACAGCCTGGTCTGAGAAGGCGCCACCAGATCCACCGGTAGTGGCTGAGTTGGTATCACCGGAAGCAACCGATCTATCTGGGGAGTCGGACAGTGAGGACTCCAGGGATTCCTTCCGCAAACGCTGCCTCCACCCCAGAAAGTCCCATAAGATGAGACACTCAAACAAGTTCACGGCCAGCGGTTTTCAGCAGTCATCCCCTGTGCTTCTTGCTGCTTATGATTTGCGTTGGCAGGAGCTGGCTCTAGAAGGAGCGTGGTGCCAGACACCAATGCCGCCGCGGCAGCAATTTTCGAAGGAATCATCCGCGCTCCGAAGCCTGGGGCCAGCGAAGCCGCAATCGGAAGCATCATGGCTCCCAAGCCAAAGCCAAACCCTAGGGCCGGTAAAAGGAGCTTCGGAAGCGTCGTGGCTCCAAAGCGAAACCCAAAACCAAAGTCTGGGGCCGAAGCGGCCACCTTCAGAGGCACCGTCTCTCCAAAGCCTCGGGCCACCAACGCCAACGAAGCCCCATCCTTTAATGTTTAACTACTCGTTGAGCACCACTTCTGGTTCTGGCACTACCTTGCGGGATTTGGTGGTGGGCGGCTCCGCCCACAGCTCTGAGAGGTCTTTGACCAAGAGTGAGAGGCACAACTCTCGTAGATACTCGGACGTGGACAAGTCAATGGTCCGGGGCATCTCGCTGCGACGGTCTCTGGGTGGCCTTGGCCGCTTGTGGCGCTTTGATCCAAGCACCTGGCAGCCCCAGCAGCGGGGGGAGCTCTATGCCATGTCCTCACCGGCTATGTTTTTTAACATTTTCATCTCGCACACTTGGCTGACCCCTGGCCGCTGGAAGATCCTCTCGCTGTGGCTGCAATGCGGGTGGCCTTTTGCGCTTGCATTCTGGTGCATGGGCGTCTTCACATCATTCGTGCTGTGTGCTTGGGACATCCTCCCCATGCCTTTGAGCTATCATTCCACCCTTTCATCTGAAACCTACCCCATGGGCTTTTGGATTGTTTCATGCAGCACCCTGTCAACGTTCTTCGGGCTGATGTCGGCCCCATACTGGCCGGACCGCTGCTGCAATGATACCTGCTTCATTGATGTGGCAAGCATCCACCAGGTCCAACAAAAGCATAGGATGCTCTGAACGGGGAATGAATCAGTTGTATAGCAGACAGACGTTTCAGCTGATCGTTTTTGTTCTTCAGGTGGATCAGAAGCTGATGGAGCGAGGGGTATACGGAATTGCTGGCTTCTTGCGCATCTCTCAAGAGCTGCGGATCTTGTTTTCTGGCCCGTACTTTTCAAGGCTATGGTGTCTTGACGGCACTTGGAGTTTGTGGTCTGTACGCGAGTCAAATGTTAAGCAAGCTATAGGTGCTCAGCGAAGGTGTATATTTGAGATAGCCGCCTACAAGAAGGTCAATCCCTCAGGGAAGATCACGTTTCGGCCGCTCTTATTTGAAGCTGTGGTTGTCGGGCTGCTGCTGTCCGCATATTGCTTCTGCTACATATACCTGGCGTGGACGGCCATTGATGCAGCTAGGATGAGTTTAGATGAGGCCAAAACAGATCAGACTCAGCACCAGAAATGATTTTTCTAAGAACCTGGGTAGTTCCCATACTACCCCCAAATAAGCTACAAGGTAAGGGTCCTGTCCTAAAGGCCCCCGATCCCCTCCCCCTAATATCAAACCTCCAGTCCCCTTAATATTAAATATTCCCGTTGTGTTATATCATAATATATCGGGAATACTTAAGATTAGGGGTGGGGGTCTAATATCACGGCCCCCCTCCCCCCCCCCTATTTGCCCGCACCAAATGCCAGCTCATCAGAATGTGCTGCGTGTAGCAGTGTTTTGGTGGTTGCGGATGTGGTC